GGGGGGGGGGGGCAGAACCCCTTTGCTTAAATTTACAAATTCAAAGAAGTACAAAAGTTGTAGCTAGCATGAGCCTGCACACCTAAGCGTTTGCCATAGAGAGATGAGACTGAGGCTCTAATCTTGTCAGAGGTGGCAAATATTGGGACAAAGAGGCGAGTACACCAGAGCAGTATGGCAGGGTGTCAGTAATGGTGCTGGTGGTGGTATCCTGTGGAACATGAAGGCAAATTTCAGAGGGACATTGGTGCCTGGAGCTTCCTTAGCAGAGTATCCTGGATTTACATAAGTGGCCAGCGAGGAAGAAGGCTGCTGCAGGCTTTCCTTGTCATCACGTTCTCCCTCTCCCTCGTCAGAGGAGTAGGTACAGAGCAGACAGAGATACAAAAGTGTTTGAAGGGTGTGACATGTTAAAAAAAAAAATTTTTTTTTAAATGTTAAAAAAAAGAAACATATGGCAGGAAACCAAGATGTTAACAGATGTTTCCCATGAGAAAGGAGGGGGTGAGAAAATATTAGGTAGGTATTACTAAACAAATATTAGATAAGCATTATTAAAACATTGTTTTATTTCATTTATATAACACACATATTTATATAAAACATATTAATACAATATATAGCATATAATACAACACATATGTAATAACGCTACATATAGGAATCCACATATATGAAAGTAGGAAGTGCTGTAAATAGAGCCATGAGATTTACAAGAAAGGAGACAGAACTTCGGGCTAGGGAATCAAGGGGAGTTCCATTGAAGAGGTGCCTTGTAGAGCGAGCCTTGAGAAGTGGGATGGGATTTGGGAATACCTAGCTGGGATACAGGAATTCAGGCGAAGGGAAGAGAGTGCACAAAGAGGGCAAAAATGGTACAGAATTGCTGCAGGGAAGTACCCAACGTGCCCGGAGGATCACTTTGTAGTCCAGATTGGCTGGACACTAGGCTGTGTGAAGGGGACGATAAGGCTGGCCGGGCAGCTTAGGTCTGACAGTAGTGGAGACTGAGGTCAGTGTGCTGGCAGGCAGCAATGGCTTGCTGAACGGATGCACGAATGAAGCGACTGGACTGCCAGGACCGGAACCTCTCTCCTACCAAGTAACGGACAGTCAGTAAGGATTCCCTTTAGAGGGGAATGGTATGGGTTGAGTTATGTTTCAGGAACATTACTAAGGATTCTCATTCTCACTCTTGGTAGAATTAGCCTAGCTAGAAGGTTTGACCAAAGAACAGGGGCAAGACCTCTCCAAGGGGCGCATTTCCACCTCTGCAGACACTTCCTTTAGGGGACCCCGGTCGATCCCAGCATGGCTCCTTTCCACCCCTAGGTTCTTTCTGGCATTTGTAATTCCCAATCCCCTTGGACGAATTTTCCTACTTGGAAACAGTTTCTGGCAGGACCACGAGAGGAAACAGACATATAAGATGCCCAGGATCCAGGGGACGCTGCGTCCCTGCCATCACCCATTCCTACCGAGACGACACGCCCCTTTCTGGGCCCCGCATCGCAGTCAGTGGCGTCCGCTTCTACTCCTCCAGACCACGAGGGGGCAGACTCAGCCGCCCGCCCACCTAGTTCCGGCGCGCACTCTCCCTCGCGGCGCGGGGCCCGGCCAGTTCTTGGAACTAAGAAGCCACGTCCGAGTTCCACGCCGACCAATCAGGACTGTCTGTGCGCTGGCGGGGGCGGGGCTGCCCAGGCAGGAGGAAGATGGCGGCGGGGGCGAGGTGAGGTGTTGGCGGTGGAGAGGGGCTCGGGCGCCGGGGACGGGGGGACGCGGAACCATGGCCCGCGGCGGCCGCAGGGGTAGATAAGACGCCGTCGCGCCGCGGGTGTGGGAGGGCAGGGGCAGCCTGGCGCCGCGGGAGTATGACGGGGCTGTACGAGCTGGTGTGGCGGGTGCTGCACGCTTTGCTCTGCCTGCTCCGCACGTTCACCTACTGGCTCCGCGTTCGGTTCGGCACCTGGAACTGGATCTGGCGGCGCTGCTGCCGCGCCGCCTCCGCCGCGGTCCTAGCGCCACTTGGCTTCACGCTCCGCAAGCCCCCGGCTGCTGGCAGGAACCACCGGCAGCACCGGCACCGAGGGGGGCCGGGCCCCGGCGCCACCCACCCCCGGCTGCGCTGGCGTGCGGACGGCCGTTCCCTGGAGAAGCTGCCGGTGCACATGGGCCTGGTGATCACCGAGGAGGAGCAGGAGACCAGCTTCTCGGACATCGCAAGCCTCGTGGTGTGGTGTATGGCCGTGGGCATCTCCTACATTAGCGTCTACGACCACCAAGGTGAGGCCGGGCGCGGGGAGGGGCCCGGGTGGCTGGGGCCGCGGGGACCCGCGTCCCGCAGGTGTAGCCGGGGGCACAGCGCTCACCGCTCACCGCTCACCGCTCACCGCCCACGGCGGCCCTCAAGTGCAAATTACAGTGCTAACACTTTCGAGGAAGAGTAAGCTGTCCTGAACACCCACCAAGTCCCTGAATTAGATTCAATAACTGTCTGTACGTTTTTAAAATAGTTCTTATTCATAATGCCCCAGGAAGGTAAGTGGTATTTGTATACCTTTGTTTCACAAGTGAGGGAGCGGAGCATCCACAACATTCACTGACTTGTCCAAAGTCACAAAGGTAGTAATAGAAGTTTTAGCTGCCTGTGCTTTTCTGCACATTTGCCCTTGTATTACACGACAGTGTTTCTTCAGAGAGGTTCAGGACACTGATCTTAGATCAGAGTCAAGCTATGGGGGATTTATGCTTGAGCTGAGTGGTTGGGGCCAGTAGGCTTTTGAACTGAGCTTATGAAAAGTATGTGAGAGACTGGATAGAGAGAAAAGAAAACTGTCCCCTGTCTTGGGAGGTCTGGGATGGAGCCTTGATCCTCAGTGGCCCACACTGTGTTTGACACTAACTGTCTTCTCATAGTTTTGATTGAGGGAATTTTCACCATAGGGAATTTTTGTAAACACTTATCAGGTGGCTACAAACCTAAAGCACCGTGCTAGGCACTGTCCTTGGAATCTTACATTTAATTCCATGGACTCTGGGGCTTGCATGGACTAGGCATATATATACTCACATAGGTGACATGGTCAATAGCAAGAAATGTTGGGAGTAAGGAACTACTGTGAAAAGGGAGAAGAGAAACTCTGAATGGAGGAACTTGAGAAGTTCATGCAGAAAGATGAGATTTAAGCAGGACATGTCAGAATGAGTAGGAGAAAAGTTTGAGGAATGCTCAAATTGTCATGTTTGGGTTTCAATCAAATCGTGAAGGCAATGGAATTTCCTTAAAGATTTGGTGAAAGAATGATTTAGTAGTATTGGTATGAAGGACAGAAACCAATGTTTTACTTTGTTCAGTAACTTAAACTACAGATTTTATTCTCTATTCAATAACTTAAATTTCACGGAAGCTACAACTTGATTTTAATCTTTAAATCTTTTAAGCTAGGTAGGTTTAAGTGTGGGTTGTGGGTTTTTTTTTTCTTCTTCCCCAGAAAGGGTGGGTTGAGATCTGGGTAACTCTTACAGGGTGTTTGAATAATGTTTGATTGATTATAACATTTCTTGCATCCAGCAAGTAATATGGTGACTATGTAGCCTGTCATCATCAAATGATGACTTGCACTGTAGGGTAAAGTTGAACATACTCATGGGTCAGCGTTTCATGGAACTTGCCAAAGAACTCTGCAGAGGAATAGAAATGATGAGAGTGTTAGGAGGCCACCCAGTCTTTGCTGAAAGCAATGCAACAGATAAATGCATTGCCTGGAGAAACAAAATAAGTGAAACAGATATGGAAATTAGTTGAATCCTTTAAGTTTAAGCAATGTGGTGAATTGACTTAAAAGTGAATCACTCTATCCAGGTGATTCTTTTAAAGCAAGGGCCATTTACCTTCTAGTAGGAAAGGAAAATGTAGAATTAACTAGTTTAACTTGGGTGACTGCCTGCTAGTGCAGGTTATAATATTGCCACACTTCCTTGTTCCCGAAATTCCTGTTATTGAATTGCTAATTGAATTCAGAAGTATCCTGTGTCATTCACTAACAGAAAACCATTGGTAATGAAAAGGAAGAAGTGAAGCTAAGTTCTGACTGACAACCAAAAGGAGGTTTACAGAGCATTTTCAGTGAATGAACTGAGAGCACTCTGTGTCCTAATATAAAAGTTGTTTTAGTTATTTCTTAAGGGGTAAGGAATAATTTCATTGTCTAAAATAAGAGACTTTCCCTGCTGGCCAATGTGACTCAGTTGTTGAGAGTCCTCTTATGCACCTGGTCAGGGTACATACCCAGGTTGTGGGTTCAAATCCTATTTTGGGGGTGTGTGCTGGAGGCAACCAATGGGTGTTTCTATCTTGCATTGATGTTTCTCTTCCTCTCTCTCTAAAATCAGTAATTTATAAAAAACATTGAATAAAATAAATAAAATAAGAGACTTTCCATTTACCCATTCTTGGTTTTTATTGATTTGATGGGGTCTTTCATACATTCATTTACCAGGTGACAATTGAATATCTATTAAGTACCAGATACTGTTCCAGACAAGAGTATTTAGCAGTTAACAAAACAGACAAAAGTCCCTATGTTCATGGAACTTAAATTTTAGTGGAAGTCTGACAAATACTATAAATGAGCAAAATATGTAGTGTATTAGATTATAAGTATAATGAAGAAAACTGTCCCAGGGAAGGGGGATAAAATGTTGAAAATCAGTGGTGGAGATGGGGTGGAGTTTTAAATGGAGTGGCTTAGGAAAGCCACAGTGACTTTTCCCCCCCTTATAATGCTTTATTTAATAATTTCAAATGTTTCCATATGACAGCATATTAAAGGCAATCAGTGACAGATTAATTTTATTTTGGATCAAAACTTTGAAAAACTGCCTCCTACTCCACTACTTTGCAAAATTCAATGCTAAATATTTATAAAATGTTCTACAACGCCAGCCTGCTCTGATGTAGAAATGATAGCTGTGTATTCTTGGAATTCTCTAACGAGCAGTCTTCCACTCACAATGAGTATGGTCCTGAAAGGTGTAAGGGAGCAAGGCATGCGGATATATGAGAAGAGTTGTACTTTTCAGGGGAAGTATAGATTCTAAAGCTTTACTCAGTTTTCCCTAGCAAACTTTTATTTCAGCTATTTCTATATAGATATTTAGTTTAGAAAAAAATTCTAATGCCGTATTTATTGAGTACCTTCCATGATATAAAGCACTGGGATACAAAGAAGTATAAGAAATGGTGTCTCTTAAGGAGTTTACACTCAAATTAGGGATATTTACTAAAATTTATTACAGGCAAATATATAAATACTAGTGGCAGGTTTTTAAATGAATATTTATTCTGATTATAATTGCTCTAAATTATATTTAGTCCTTAGACTAAAAAATCCATTGATATTTCCCGTGGTTTGACTCCTGCCAGCAAACTGATCCTTTTCTTTTCATCTGCCTGCAATATTACTTGATTATAATAATTTCTGCCAGTAATTCTTTTATGCTTCACAAATTAGAATAGTTTTCTCAGGAATTTCTTAAGCTCAGAATTCTAGTATGGAGGGAGACTAAGCTGTTTTTTCTACATGATTATAATTCAAGAAATTGGGATGGTATAAAAATTGGAGTTTGGGGCTTTTGGTTGAATAGCCACAGGGGTGCTATGCTTGCCTAGGTCTCACCTCAAATATCCCTAGATCCAGGGTATCTGGATATGTATTATTATCTTCAGTGGTGGAACCTGTTCATATTGCCCAGCTGTACTGGTGCCCTGCTGGGAACCTTGCTGCAGGGCAGTATTTTCAAAACAAGGACCACCTGTGAGTGAGTCATTGGGGATCCTTGTAAGAAATACAGATTCAGCACCGTGATTGATCAGACTAAATTAGGGAACGGGACCTGAGCAACTCTGTTTTTATCAAATGATCTTTATGATGCATTTGTATCCTAAAGTGTGACCCTAACACAAATCTCCCTGTTACTTGTCTTACATCGAATTATTCATCCTTCATTTTTTTTTTTCATGAGTGAGGATAATCGGGGTGGGTCTTAATATTACTTAGGATAAGTTTGATCTAGACTATGGTATTGACTTCTATGTGAGAATCGGTAGAAGACAAAAGAAATCCATTTTGTAGCTCTTTTTAGTGTCACTTCCATAGTGGTGTCTTACAAAATGTTTTTGGGCGTACAGAATGTTCACCCACTGCAGAGATCTGCTCGGTGTGCAGCCAACCGTCCCAATTTGTTTCCCAGTATTCGTATACCTCTGCTCCCTCCATAATTCGGTTACTTGATGTTCCTTCCTCCTGAAGTGTTCTCTTCTCCTTTTCCTGGTAAATGCCTATCTACCTGTCAGAAGGGTATTATTGATCCTTGTAAGTCCATCCTAACTGTCACCTCTTAGGTAGTCGTTCTCTACTATTTTTTTCCTAATCTTGTTCTATCTATCCTTGAATCTCCTTAGAACTTTGTACATCTCTAAAGGTCCTTCTGTTCTCTATTTTGTAAAGTTTTGGTGTATGTATGTGTGCCTGAATTTTCTTCCTAGAGTCTAAGCTCCTCAGATGCTATCAATCCTCATTTTTGTTTCTGCTACAGAGTGTAGCTAGTGCTGTGCATGTAGTCAGTATGTATTTCTTGAATTGAAAGGAAGACTGCATTTTCTGTAATAAGAATAGTGAGCTGAGTTATAAGTTGTTTCTCAACACAAATTCTACCCAGAAGCCTTAAAATAATGGAGGAAAATGAACATAGCTTTTTCCTTATTTATTTGGCACACTGACACATGCTGTTGGCAGATATGATTTTATTAAGCTTTATTTTTCTTATTTTGAAATACAGAGTTGCCGGAAGTATTAAAAGTCGAAATATAAATGCGAATTACATTTTAATATACCGAACAATGCAAACTAGTGTACCTGGCTTCCCTTATTGGGTAACTCATGTAAAGGAGCATTCTATTTCTAATTTTTACCTATGCATGATTCACTGCTAGCACAGAATTTCACACTTATCTTAGCATTCTGGAATGTCCTCTGCTCCTTTTTCTGCCAAAGGGCCAGCTCCTTGTTGGGAGGCTGTCAGAGTCTTGTGTGTCCATTCTGATTAGCACCTCCTAGATGGCCTCTCTCGACTGTTCCACCACTAGTTTTGCTGTCTTTGGAAGGTTCTAACTTTTGAAGTGGCCTCATTCTCTCAGTAGCCTTCTGTTTTACCATACTACTTGATCAATGTATGAAAATAAACTTTTACTTAATGGCAATAATTACTCTGCTGAACGCTTC